ATGAAGATGATGGTGATGATGATGAAGATGATGGTGATGATGATGATGAAGATGATGATGAAGATGATGGTGATGATGATGAAGAAGAAGATGATGGTGGTGATAATGATGAAGGTGATGATGATGATGATGATGGTGGTGGTGATAATGATGAAGATGATGAAGAAGATGATGATGGTGATGATGATGAAGAAGATGCTGGTGGTGGTGATAATGATGAAAATGATGATGATGAAGATGATGGTGATGCCGATGCTGGTGGTGGTGATGATGGAGGTGGTGGCAACAACTTCCCTTCATTGTTTTAAGCATTTTCCAGGAATTGTGCTAATCCTTTACAAACAAAACTTCAAGAAATCTTCACAATCTTTTAGCTTAGTATTATACACCCTTTCCTCCACTGCAGAGACAAGGAAACTAAAGCTCACAGAAGGCAAGGAACTGGCTCAAAGTCACACAGCTAGTAAGTGATGCAGCTGGACTGTAAGCCAAGGTTTCAACCAACTCAGAAGATGGAATGTTTAACCACTCCCCATGCAGTGCACCAACCGTTCATCATTTCATGTGTTTCTATCCCCTGAGCTGGTTTTCAAGATGCCATTGCTGTTTGTCTTCCCCGAGTTTTGAGAGATTAATGGTACAATAAAATTTAATGTGTGCACCTCCAAGAATGACTGCATTGTTTTGCAGCGTGCTGGTGAAATGCTCTCAGCCGGAGATGCTGGTGGATAGGTTGCTCTCTGCCTACTTGAGATGAGTGGCAGATATTATCTACTGACACTCAGCTCACTTTTCTACCATCTTCCACTCCCCCTTCCTACTGTAGAGGCTGCAAATGTAAAACCTGCATTTCCCAAACACCCTGAGGACTCTACATGTAAATGAGGCTCCACCAGTGAGATTCCTCAAGGAATTTGGAGAGCAGAAGTAAGGCATCAACACAGTCATGGAGTCTTAGGATCTTTTGCCACAGTGTTCCAATGCCATGTGCCTTATTTCATAACTGTCAGAAGGCAGCTGATCTGGTGGCAGAAGCAGCTTCCTGATCCCTGGGTGGCAGGTACAGTTGTGAGTTTGTGTAGTAGAGAATCTA